GAAACTATAATTTTGGCAGAAAATTACTGGCTTCCTAGCAGTGCAATCAGAAAGAGAGGCACACCCAGGAAACCTTGCGTCCCGGCGTTTCACAGCTCCTTAGAACAGCTCCACATCTCCCCTAAGTCTGCTCTTCCTGTAGTCCCGGATTTAGAGACTGTCAACATGGCCTGTGGGGGGGGGTGGTCAGCCCCAGATCTGAATGTCATCCTCCCCTTTGCGCCCTTACCCTCCACGTCAGATCCATTGCCCTCAACACTTCCTATATATGGATTGCTGCCTCTCTCCCTGTCCTTCATTACCTTCTTTGGAAAACCTCATTTATGATCAGACCTTGTTTCCATTTTTAAAAAAAATCAATAATTTTTATGTTCACAGTAAAATAAAAATCTGGATAATGAAAATCAAGAGCTATTTCCTGCCACCTCTCCTGCCAGTTTTCTGAAATGTGATCTGTTCCAGCCGTCCTCACCTGGTGGTCAGTCGCAGGGAGCACCGTCCATGTCTCTCTACTCAGCTGCGCCTCGTGGTTCAGACTTGAGGTTAGATGAACATTCTCCAGGGGACCTTCTGGTGGAGCGAGGTTTCTCTCATCTGTGCTTCCCTGGGACCATGCATCCAGGTTTCTTGTCATGCAGATACCATGTAGTTCTCCATCCCTCTCACTAGACTGAACTCCTTTAAAGCAGGAAATACCTTCCACACTGGAATCCTTAGGGTTTAGCTTGATACTTGTTTCCATGCCCAGGCACAGTGTTAGGCCCTAAGAATGGTGAACAGCTCACAGACTGCAGTTACTCATTCCTTCAGGGTATGGAGCTCTTCCAATCACTAGCAACGTCATGTGTTAGCTCTACTATAATTTATTAATAATCATTCTTGTAGGATTGATTCATTTAGATAGGGATTACAGTTAGTAATTTTTATATAATTAAAAACTTTGGGTTATAATTAAATGATTTTTAGTCTTTTAACTATGCAGACAAATAAATCTAAAATTAAAAACATGGAGTTTATCTGGTATAGGTGACTTTAAAGATGAATAATTTATTTTACTACAGGACACACTCTGCCCTTTTCATAAAATTTGTGAATAGCTAATTCAAAGGGCAATCCCTTATGATGAATCCTGGGCCTTTCAGATAATTTCTGAAACATTATACCCCCCAAGTCTGGGGTTACCATTGGAGTTTTGCCCCTGTGTAGGCTCACATAGCTTTTTCTACAGGATCAAATATTCTGAGTGTGTGGTAAAGACCTTGAACATCACTGAAACATAGTAGGGAACAGTGTCACAGTTCCTGAAA